CAAGACACTTTTCGACATCTTATGTTTGAACTAAGTCCATTATAACTCCTTCTTTCACTTAATTTGACACTTGTGCATAAGTGACAAATTATTTTCTTACTGTCATACTTCCACATACAGCTCATCTTCCTTAAATTGATAAGAAATTCAGGTTTGTTCTACGTTGTAATCAAACTTCAAGATTTTTGTTTTTGTTTATAGTTAAGCGAAGATACGTAATAGGCTATTTATGCTGCGCCCACCGCCAGTATCGTAACCAGATTTCTAGCGCTGGAAGCCCAGACCTAAGGCTGAATCATAGGGGTAAAGAGTTTTCTTATTCACTGGCTTAGGCATGAAACAATGATGATAAACTAGTTAGCAAGTGCTTAGATCTTTGTCTTATCTACAAATCCGTAATTGCGTGCTTATTTTGAAATTTTCGCGCAATGCTTTACAGTGCTTTTTGCGCATTACCATCTCTAATTTTTAACTTATAGACTAGATGAAAGTGGAATAGTCAATAGCATTTACTGCCAAATCTTGAGCTTCTCTAATCTGATCAAATAGTGGCATGTAACCGTTACTGCTATAGTGCATCTACGACCAGCAAGTATGAAGCGCACGGTCATTTTTAGTTCACCACATTTCGGTATAAACTAAACAAATCAGGTAAAAATAAAAAATAAAAATATCCGATTTTAGGAACCACAATTTATTGATGTTTTTCTTGGAAATTAAAGACTCCAACCTTCGCTGGCGAATGCAACATGTCTCCGCCACGCAATACCAACATGGCCAATTCTGACACCAGGAAAATCGTGAAAGACACAGAAAAATGGGCAAATCCAAAATTTTTATTTGTAAGTGCGTGTTGTCTGTAGAAAATTAACTTTGTATCAAATTCAAATTTGACCAAAACTCCTAAAATTATGGGTTTATTTAACCTTTTGACCTCCTCTAAAATGACCAAAAATTGGCATATCCCATATTTTTGCATGTATATGTATGTGATCTTTTAAAAAATATCTTTGTACCGAATCCCATGTAACTTGGCCGACATACGGCGGAGTAATTGTCAATAAAAAATCCTAAAATTAAGCTTTTTGTCTTATCTTGAGCCCTTTGTAATTATCAAGTCCACCATTGTTGTTTGTCAATGTGTGTGACCTGTAGAAAGCATATTTGTACTATATACCATGTAAACTGATCAAAATATAGTTGAGTAATTGACCAAAAAAAAACAAAATTATGCTTTTTTGTGGCCTAGGACCCCCCTATAAAGACTCAAAATGGGAAAATTCAATATGTTTGTTTGTCAGTGTGTTGGGCACATGAAAATTTATATTTGTGCCAATTGTCATTTCGATTGCTGTAAATATGTAAATATACATTTTTGGGTTGTTTGACCTTTGACTCCATAAAATCCTTTAAAAGGCTTAAACAAAAAAATATAAAAGATGATTGGGCGTACTGGACCAAGGTATAACCCTACCACATTTCAAATTTAGCCACCAAGAAGTCAAGGAATGGCGATCGATTGAAAAGCGTTTGGAAGAAGAAGAAAGAAAGGAATAATAAGAAACAACAACAAAAAAGCATGTTTATCTACAGAGACATAATTATAGTAAATTTTACTGTCATTCAACAACACTAAAGCGATAGATACTCGATCTTTCTCATATGTAACGATTAACTTCCGATCAAAGCAAGCTAACAACTTAGAGTGAGACTAAAATCCAGCTTGGTAATGAATATAGCTAATTAAATGAACTTTTTTACGTTCTTACTCGTACAAATTTGAATGCATTGTTTCATCAGTTGGGTAACCTCAGTGTTAACTATATTTTCGGTCGTAATCCGAATGATATCCAATTAAGATTGGCCAGCGTAGGAAATTTAGTTTTAACCTAAATACGTATATTAAGTTAACAAAGCAGAAAAATCTGTTTGATAAAAGAATAATAGCAAAAACTATAAAAAATAAAATAAGATTTATTAAACGTTTTAACCAATACTGTTAATATGAATAACAACATCTTACTTACAGAACACTAGTTTCTTGATTGAAGTACCATCGTAAATTAAACGCTCTTTGAACAATGTCACAATAGTATAACCGAGTATAAACAGAACTTTCCATAACCCTCCCTAAAAATGTATTGTGATCAATTAAAATCCATTAAATAATTCAGATAGTATAACTTTAGAGGAGTATATTATCGGAGATAAACTGCTTCTACACGTGTTAATGTTAAGGTATGGAGGATATTTTGAAGAATACATCCAGAAATCAATGTTTATAAAGATACAAAATAATAATTAAAATGAATAACTGAATCGTACAGTAAAGAGCTATAATATTGGTTCTTTAATTAAAATACAAGAACGTTAAATGTCATACAAATAAAACAATATCTTGAAAATACTACGAGATGTGTTTAATATAACTACTCCTACTTTTCATTACCTTTGTCACTTACAGACATGGAGGAGGCAAGAAGGAGTAATAACTAAAGTAAAATCTCCTGTAATATCTGAAAAGTAAATATGGCACGTCTCGAGAAAGTTCAATAATAATAATAAGACCTAGAGTGAAAGTTACAACAATCGTATGTATGGCAAATAAAGCAACAATTGGTGTAATTTAATTAATAATATAATGCCATATCATGTATGGAACTGTAATATATTTAGCGTTAACCATGCGTAATAAGAGCTCAAACAAAGAGGAAGTAGAAACAATGTTGGTGAATATACTAAAGCGTTTCATAATTACTTTAAATAATTTACAAATGAATTAAAGGGTAGACGCGAAACTTTTGTTAATATCATGATGTTCTATAAAACATCTAAACACATACATAGTCATCAGGAGGAATAATACTTAATTTCCACGTAATTACGGCCTGGCATGGCCAGGTGATTAGGGAGCTCGACTCGCAATATGAGGGTCGCGGGTTCGAATTCCCGTCCTACCACACATGCTCGCCCTTGCAGTCGTGGGGTCGTTATAATGTGTCAATCAATCCCACTATTCGCTGGTAAAAGAGTAACATAAGAGTTGGCGGTGAGTGGTGATGACTAGCTGTCTTCCCTCTAGTCTTTCACTGCTAAATCAAAGACGGCTAGTGCAGATAACCCTTGTGTAGCTTTGCGCGAAATTCAAAACAAAATTATATTAATTCTGTTTTTAAAATGCGATAAGAGAAACCTCGTTTGTGAAACATACGAATGATTTTACAAACTCTATTTAAAAAGTATCGTGATGTTGAACAAATTGTATTGTAGCTAATAAACTTTGTATGATAAACACTGTAACAATGCTTATCTGGAATATTTGTATTTGGAAATTGAAAGTGTCCGTTTTATCGAAAATTTTGAACTTTAAAATTCGATTAATGATGCTGAAATCTAAATCCAGACAGTGTGCTCTGTTTTGGTTAAAGAGCCAAGTTTGTAGATAAGACAATAATTAAAATACATTTAAAGTTGCAGTTATATTTTTGTGATTAGATTATAGCAATCCCATCCACCCATTGTTACTTGCTGGCTATGCATATTATTCATTGTAGTTGACTTTTGTTTTGTAGTGAGTAGAAGTAAACAAAAGCACTTATTTCTACTTTGAGTTTGGCAAGTTAATCAATTGGAAGATTTCTTAAGCAAGTTTAATATCATTAGAAATCTCTAGGTAAGAGTAACTTGATAATTTAAGGTTTTTTTTATTTTTGTTTTGTAAATCTGCTCTTGGACTAATGTATCCAGAGTAATGAAGAGCCTTGATTATCTATTTAATTTTACAAATTTCACCATGTGGTACCATTAATAATTGCTTTGTCTGAAGCAAAGATCTTCTCTTGGGTGATTCCATGAGGTCTGTTGACCAATAATAACTATTCTGTTGTCTTGAAAAGACTAACAAAGCGCCTACGTCAGAAGTGTTATACCGAGTGATTAAATCTAACCATAGAGCATTAGCCAAAGACAAAACAGGCTTTGAACTCGGAGTATAATCAGTAGTGCTCTTAATTTTTTCTTTAAAGATGAGACGTCTATCTGTTTCAAACTTCTTTTGCTTCTCTTTACATCAAAATCATTGAATTGACATGCACATTTAATTGTGATAAATAAAGATAAGAAATCTATGAAGAAAACGATTTGTTTTCATATGTTTGTTTGTTGTTTTTTAATGTTTGTATTTCACCTTGACATAGACCACACTCCTACATCGCTCCAAATTCTGGAATTAGTTTTCTTGTTAACCAAGATGATTTTGATATCACAATATATGTACAGTGATAATGTACTTACAAATACATCAGAAAATAACTCTTACAATACAGATAAGATGCAAATATTATAAAATACACCGTTAGGAGCCAATATATGAGAGACTAAATTCATGTTCTTTATACATTGTTACAGAACTTCTTTGGCAATGTTCATCGACTTTGTACTTCCAATGAGAATATGCTATTCTACAAAACAAAGTAACATATATATATATATATTGCTATAAGTGATTTTTATTCTTATTGCAATCATGTTTTGAAAAAAAAACATACACAATGTACTTTTTTTTCTTTTCTAGGACACATTGTTTGAGACTTTTTAAATGAAAAAGCATTATAAAACGAAATTTCGAAAAATCAATGAAAATCACTAATTATTTAATATATATAAGTGATATTCAAAGATTGAGCTTAATAGGTTACATAAATCTCTTTGGAAATAAAACGAACTTTCTTTTTATATTAATATCTCAGTTAATGAGTGAGTTCATCATCCATGTCTCCCATATTTTTTAGTTGAGTGTCATTATTTTGAGGTACATAATAGGGTTGTATTCGGATTTATTCACGCTTTGCAAAGTTAAGGACATACATTAACATATAATACGTGAGATCCAAATGTTATAGGAATTTTGTGGTCCTTCTGCAACAGCTCAAACTTATTGTAGACTTATGAGGATTTGCGTTCAATAAAAACATATATGTGTGTGTATATGTATGTTTCAGTTGAGTAGAAGGCGTATGAGTCGACCTATCCTTCACTCTGGCAGCAAGTTTCGCCAAGGTCTACTACAGTTGATGATACACTCTATCGACCCCATGCATGATGGTGAGTACATGGCGTGGAAGTTTATGCATGATATTGGACGAGTATAATAAAAAACAATTCACACGTAGATATTTTTGCTATTAAAAAGAAGTGCTAGTTCGAATAGTTCGAAAATCCATTATTTCAAATTTCGTTATTTTTTTTGTGAAAAATGCACTTCAGAAAAGTTTTGTTTTTTTTCATTATATATACAAAAAAAAATCCATTTAAACTGAGGAATTTTTACAGTTGTATTTGTTATCCATATGGAACTTTTATAAAGTGAGCTAATGTAACTCGTTCTCAATCTAGTGGTTTTCATTTTCCATTCTTATTCTTTTCTTGATGTAGAAATGAGATATCGATCTCATATGCGTGTATTTGCAATAATTTAACGAATAAACGGGCTGTAGGTTCTGAGAAAATATAACAGTTTTATTGAACAATAAATTTTGTTATTGTTTGTTCACAATAATTTGAATTCAATAACTAAAAAGGATTTTTCATTATACAACTTCATACATAAGTCTAAATCCAGTTATGTATTTACAGTTAAGAACTACATAGTTACGTTTGAATGAAATCTTGGTATGAAATATAGTTCTGGTTTTATTTTCTTTCAGTTTCAGTTTTTTTTTGTCTGAGTACAAAAACGCAGTTCTGGTTATATTTTATCTTTGTATAAAAACATAGTTCTCGTTTAATTTTTTTTCTGTTGAATGTTGTTTGCTATTTAATGCTTACACCTTATTAAATATTCGTAACTTACAATTGTTTTAACTCGGGGTCACTACTAGAGGGATGCTGAGGTGGACTGGGCACCCCCAAATTTCACTCTGGTCCAAGCAAGTTCATTCTCCATAGCACTTTCAAAAATCAGATAAACAATTTTTAATAATCTTATGATATTTCTTAAATGGCCAAGAGTAAACTTAGGTGGGACAAACATGATTGCAATATTACCTTTCCTATAAATCCATATCACTGTATAATCCACTGGTCCCCATAAAAGCTCCACTATCCCTCCTCCCAAGGGAGAAAAGTTGGAGACGGGCCTGTCATCATACATTATAAAACATGTTATTTTTTTAACAGTGTAACTTTTTCTGAAGTATCCAAGTAAAAACTGTTGATTGAAAATTATTTGAAGTAAAACAATTAAATTTTCAAAGTAACCAAAGAAAATTGTAAGTTAAAAGAATTTCTTCATTTTTCAGGAAAAATTGATGAGAAAGCATCGCAGCTACACGCCATTGCCTCATTGCGTGTTTTGTTGGAAGCAACAAAGCCTCGAAGCACAGAGAAATCAAACGGCAGCACTGTAAGTTACAGACCTCCGTCTGGTGACAAATTATGCACAGCGTGTGCTATTTGTTCTACTTGTGCTACTTACGCGAATTGCTCCTGTAAAAATGTTCATCCTGTAACAATTACCGTTTCATCAACAGACGTCCATAATTGTACACCCAAGGATGGTACAGAAATCATTTCCGTAGATGAAACCGAACTTGGTGAGGATAAAGACAAGGATTCTCATGACAGAGAGGTAAGTCGTACAAAATAATGTCCTTCAAACTTTGTTTAACTTACATGCTATTGTTGGTTTTTACATAAAACTTGAATTCTTGCTTAAATAGAGAAAAATAAAACTTAATCATTAGGGACAAAAAAGAAGAAGAAAAGAGTTCAGTAGAATCAACAGTAAAGGAGATATTCTGATGAAAATTATTATATATTTTTTAGAAAGTATGTTATATAGATGTAAGTTGTTACTATTACTAAATCGGATCATGTGTGATTTTACGTTTTCCGTTTATTTAATATTAATATTAATAATATTGTATTCATCAAACAAACCTAAGTATACACTCATTTAAAATATATTTTTCATTCTATAATAGAAATAAAAGAATTTTAAGATCCATTGTCAAAAAATAAAATATCGAAGCAGATATTTCTTCACTGATCACCCAAGGACTGTGTGTTATTGAATAATTTATGGAATATTCGTTTCTCTATAGCTGGGTCTAGCAATTCATTTTAGGTAGAATCAATACTCTGCTAGTATCTTTTCGTTGTGATTATCAGTTTAGGTTGTTTCCTGAAGTTTTATCAAAATGTTCCAAATGTATGACGCCAGAATGTGCATAACTTAGCAGAATAGCTAAGAAACAGCTGAGCTCAGAAGAACACAGCTTTATCCATTATTTCACACGTGGAGCAGGAATCACATATGATATCAAAAGGCAGAAACAGAAGATTTCTGATTCAGTAACCCCCTTGTAAATGTGAGTAATATCTTGTGCCAAATGATCGCTTCAAGATCTCACTGGCTGAAGACAAAATGCAGATCATAGGCTTAGAGAAGTTAGTAACATATCGCAAACTTTCTAGTTGATAATTGCATTAATATATATAGTGAAAAAGGGTTTCCCTTGTGTTACTAATCTAAAACTATTACATGCTGTTTATCTCATGCCTTAGATTGCGTGACTCTATACAGAGTAGTTTGTCGCAGCCTAAAAATGCTGAGGTTTGGTAGAATATGAAAATGTATGGCTTAAATATTTTAATATATTTATTATTTCAACTTTCTCGTTTATAAAATATAAAGAGCAAAGGTATAAAAGCCAATCATTATTTTTATTTTTCTGGGTTTGTTGAAAACAACCTTCAATATATTATTTAAACTAAATAGCTAAGGACATAGATGAAAACAGTTCTGAATACAAGCTGAGATGTGATGGTTAACTACGCTCCTGAAGATAAAATAAAGATAACTCGGATATTTTAGTTTGCAGGAAGACCATAAAGAAAGATAAATCTAGTTGAAATTTACTTCCAGCTTTTCAGATTTAAAACATGACATTTAAACATGACATTGGCCAACGTGGCCTAATGGTTTGCGAGTTGGACTTTGAACCCTTGGGTCCGTGGTTCTCGTCTCGTTGCTGCAAAATCGTTTTCCATAACTGGAGTAATGCTTGCACTTCAGTGTAACAGTTAGATCTCACTATTCTATTGGAGTAGCCCAAGAGTTGGTGGTAAGTGTCAGTACAAAATTATGGACGGCTAGCGCAAGTAATCCTTGTGCATTTTGGGCAAATATCCAAAACAAAAGATAAATAAGCACAGGTATTTGACGAATGTTTTGATCGAATAGTGCTTTCAAAAGAATATTTTGTACATTTTTTGAAACTCACTATGTTAACTGCCTTATCGTTTCGTGTGTGACTTGTGCTCACTGAACTTTCTGTTTCTTTCATGCGTAATTACATCTTTAAGTTTGCCAACTGAAATGTTGTTTAAACCATAACATATATAACAAAACAAGAAATGTGTAAAGTGTTCAATATTGCATGATATGTAATTTCTTGAATTACTGACCGAGGGGCTCGCTTTTATCATTCTCATTCACTGCCTTTCTCGCTTTATTCTTGTTTGACTGAGACGTGATTGAATAAAGTTTGGATATTTATCTACATTAATGTAATAAAGATATATATATCGAGTAAACGAAGTGGAAAGGAAAGTGCCTATTCATAAGCCATAAGACAGATTTATAAAGTTCATTAAATTAACTAGCACGAAATATATTTACAGTAAGAAAAGTATTCTTAGTTCAGATACAGTTCTGCATTTCTCAGGGGTGGTTGATTAAGTACAGAAAATAAGATTTATTGATCTTTCTGATTTGCTTCACGCTGAAAGGATGAGGGACTATTGATGCAGTTTCTCCAAATAAATTTGCTATAGATCCCAACAACATTCCTGCTATTTTTATAAATAAATGAGTTATTTTGATGAGGGGTCATTTTGAAAATGTATTTTATACAAATGTTTTAGTTGTGGACGGAAAAAATATTTTGACTTAATTTATTAAGTGTCCCCTTGTGGGACAGCGGTAAGTTTATGGACTTACAACGATAAAATACGGGGTTCTATTCCCCGCGGTGGACACAGCAGATAGCCCAGTGTGGCTTTGCTCTAAAACAACAACCATCATTTATTAACTACGAACACTTGACCCCATTTCTTTGTTCCGTATTTTGTTTTCTCAGAATGTGCTATTCACCTTTAAAATTTTACGGTCTGTGGTTCAATCTTACGGTGAATTTCAAACTCAGGTGGGTTTACATTGCCTGAAAATATTTGATAAGACAACGGAAAACAAAATACACAACAAATCATTTTTGGAATTAAAAAGTGTTTGTACATCACTTTATAATATGATCAGCTTAAGCATTTGTATTAAAATCATTGTTTTAATGCTGTGCATGCTTGTTCGATCATGTTCGTGAATTCAAACTAATTTAATAGTATATTGTCCAAAAACATCACATTTATGCTGTTGCTCTGTTCGTGCGAAAATATTGGTATATCATAATTTACTTATTTTGATTAGCAACATGAGATTAACATTAAGAAATTGGAGATTAAGAAAACTTAGTTTAGAAACATTCCAAATTATGATGATTGAAGGTAATATCAAATAGATATCTCAAATGCTTAACAAATAAATTTTTGGTTGTTTTTATGCAAGATATCACACACAAAGTTTTAACTTTGAAAGAATTTCAGTGTTGTCATATCATCTTCTTAATGGTTATATAAAAACAAAGATATAAGTTACGATGAAAGGAAACCATCCATTCAGATGTTTTGTCTAACAACGTTCTTTACTTAGGTTTATTTTTATTTTTTTTGGCTTATAGCTAGGTAACATGGTGCCTCTCTCACCTTTGTCTGGTAGTGAACTCAACGAAAGTATTACAGATTTGGGCCAGATATCTAGAGATTCTAACGACAAAAGGAAGTTCGAGTGTATTGCTAGCGGAAGCACACCCAACAACGTGTGTACAATAACTACTGACTCTGGATCAGCTGCTGTCCTTGAGTTATGTTCTGCTCCGGTAGGCTGAACATTTCATTATGTATTATTTTTGATGCAAGAAGACAACTCAAAATTTAAAAGAATGAATTGCTTTGTGTATGTCCCCCCCCCCAATAATAGTGATCAAAGGGTTAGCTGTACATATTTTGCGCGAAATGCCAGCAAGCGAACAACTCTTTTTTTTATGTGAAAGTGATTCAATTTATACAGATCGAGTCTCCTTGACATTATATTTCGAGCTTTTAAACAAAAATATCTGTACATAAAGAAACAAAATATCCATGGCTGTATTTTTTCAGGACACAACAATTTGACACAAACATCGCTGTCGTCTATTATTATTATGAACTTTCAATTAAGCCATGCTCGTCATTAGAATATTTTTGTTAATGTGTATTTACTTTTTAATGTTAAATCAGTGAAACAACACTCAGAACTACACAAATAAAAAAGGTTTCTATAGAACATCAATTGTTACACAGATTCAATGTTTAGTGTGGTATTAAAATTAATAAAGTCTATGTTTAATACAAATTCAGTGGTTTCCTTATATCCGAGGATGTGTTGATATCAATTATTATTCTGCCTTGCAATTTTTAATAGTAGAGTATTATAAAAATTTTGTATATATAAACTATTACCATTTACAATCAACAGGTGGTGGTCGACTGATTACAAACTTATTTGACTGGGATATGTTTATGCGCTCAGATCGATCAATTCCAAGTTATTGAATACGGTTTTAATATTTACATGATGCTATATTCCTGGTATATTTCGATCACCGAAATACATTTGTTATAAAGTTAATTTTTTATCATCATTATTATTAATGACCCTTTTAACACCAGACGATGATATTACATTAAAGCATAACTCTCGAAATATCGTTTAAAATAAGTCGAAAAAAGGGAAAAAAAATCTGCAGGAGCACAACAAGCAAATATATCCTGAATCAAAATCATCTGTAGTTTATTCCTAATCCTAAGTGCACAGATTTTGTTATACGGATGCAACTTTTAGAATCAAGTGGGCTGGGTGTACCTAGTGGCTAGCATACCAGGTTGTGAAACACGAAATTAAAGGTTAGCGTTACTTAGCGCAGATAGCCCTTGAGTATCTTTGCCCGAAATTCAAAAAACAAACAAAACACAATTTTTAAAGGATCTATTTAAGTATAAACAGCTTATACGGCTTACTACAACTTATTGCTTTTTTCAAAAAATGTTCAAACAAGAAAATACAAATCAATTATATGGTTTATATTACTATTATGAGCCAAATTAAAAAGGTTTTGAGGGGCAAAAATACTTTCCATTTACCTGATTAATGACATCGGATTAGAATTTATACACGCTACTTTTTTTATTCAGGAGGTACAACAAATAGAAGTCTTGCAACAAGAAGAGCCATTAGACATGAGCTGGCCCACCACTTGGCGGAAAAGACTGAACTACGTTCTTGTGGCTCCAATTATCTTTCCTTTATGGCTCACCCTGCCAGATGTGCGACGGAAGGTTTATTTCTCTTTTATTTAATTGATAATGTGTTTTTTTTTACCTTTTTAAAAGTAAGTAAAAGTTAACTTCGAAAACTTTTTATTGTGTAGAATCTTATCCGTTACATATAGATTCTAAACCTTCAGCAAAGATATTAATTATTCAAGTTACAATTACTTCACTACAACACTTTTAAAAAATAATTTCGAAAATTGTTAAAATTATTCTTTAGATGTTTATTATAAGTTTGTTTGCGTTTAAGCTCGAAGCTATACATTTTGTTTAAATGTATAAGTCATCAAAGTTATCAATGAGCCACTTGGGGTGATTTATAACGTATCTGTAATTAACTAAATGTAAAGATCGTGGAGGTAACTATAATATAATTATGAATGAATTACTATTCAATTTCTGGATTTTCTTCAGGAGTTATTAGAGTTAGTAACAAACTACTGAAATGAAACTATTAATATATTAGATATTACAAACACGAAATTACACATATACTTAAACTACCGAGGTATTAATAACATTGAGATGTATTTGAATCAGACTGATTGAATGAGGACGAAATATAAGGGAAAATCATTTAATACATTCACTATATGTTAAGCATCTTAGAATACTAAATTTTCAATAGTTAAGATGGTATACCTTTAGAGCATGACGACTTAATTGATTAGTTATGATCATCAGTTACATAGACTAGTATCACAAAACTAATCGATGACTCGAAATTACGATTAAATAGACTGTCTCCAAAATAACCAACTAATAGAAATTAGGGTTTCTGCTTATTATTATTTTTGATTGCTTCAACTAACCGAGTAATCCAAATATTGCCATTATGTATTTTTGTTGTTAAATACAATGCTACATATTGGACTATCTGTACTCTGCCCACTGGTGGTATCGTAACCTGATTTTAGTGTTATAAGTTTACTTTTTTACTTAAGTTTTGTTCAACTCTGCTCCAGTGTGGTCTGGTTATTGGGAGTGGGAGGAAGGTATCTCATGATTCGAAGGTTTCGGGTTTGACCCCCAGTGCTATCAAACTTACTCGTTCTGTCATTTTAATGCCAAAGCTACTGAAAATGGCGGCCAATTTCACTAATTAGCATTTGCTGAATAGAGGGGATCAACTTGTCGACAGCACCCAACGCCATCTCTATGGCTACTTAAGTGATAAATAAATTATAAAGTTACTGGTATTTTAACATTGTGTTAGATTTCTAATTTATAACAGTGTAACTGTATTTTTTATGTCGTGTAAGCAGGTGCGAATCTAGGCGAGGAGTCCAGAGGCTCCAGACAACCCCTCTATTTTTCTAGACATTAATAACTGTATTCTTTAATATTCTATAAGAAGGCGTAAGTATAAGGGAAAGGGTCCTTGGGGGTCCAGGCCTCCCAATCTGCCTATCTTCCTCCTTTTTTGTTCCAAAAATTCATAATACTATTCTTAATGATTCGAAGATGATAACTTCATGATGAGAAAAATACTTAGACAATGCTTACTGACAACAAGAAGAAACATTCACACTGACAAAAACAATTAGACCATTTGTAGTAATAAGAAAGTGAAATCTTCATAGTTATATAAACACCCAGACCACGCTACGTGATAAAAAAAATCAAACGTTCATTGTGACAAACGAGCTTAGACCATTCTTAGTGACAAATTAATAAAAGTTTCATAACGACAAAAACATGCTCAGACCTTTTTTTGAGATAACAAGATGAAGTCTTAATACCAAAGAATATATCCAGACCATTCTAGGTGATAACAACATAAAATATATATTGACAAAAATATGGTGTGAAAAAACAAATATTAAAATGCTTATTGTGTAAAATGAGATTAAAGTCAAGTCGGCGAATGTATTTTATTCTACTATTTTTTCTCCGGGTGGTTCAATATCTGGAAGTGGATTTTTTTTTCATACATTATAAAGTACAATATTCCATTTTGGTTGTAGTACATTTCATACATCAATGTCATAATGTGAATACGGTATCACATTCATAAAAATATATTAAATTTACATTAAAGCAAATTGAACAAAATATTGCATACTCATATACGCTTGAAATTTTAATATTTGACGAAGGATGACGGGGGGGTGGGAATAAACCAAGCATTATCTTGTTCGCCAGAACGGGTACTCATACTACTTGTATAGGATAATCTATATATTCTCCATAAGGGCCTATTTATCCTTGCCAGTGAAGGAAAAACAAAAACCATTGTTCATAAGGAAGCCTTGATTTAAAACAGGTTCGTTGTTTATTTTCAAAAATCAAATTTAGCAGTGTAAGATTAGAGGGAAGACAGCTAGTCATCACCACCCACCGCCAACTCTGGGCTACTCTTTTACCAACGAATAGTGGGATTGACCGTCACATTATAACACCCCCACGGCTGAAAGGGCGAGCATGTTTGGTGGGACGGGGATTCGAACCCGCGACCCGCAGATTGCGAGTCGAGCGCCCTAATCACCTGGCCATGCCGGGCCAAATCAAACTCAAGATTGTTTTTATCTCGTAAATTCACAAACTATTTTTTACCTATCGAAATATGGAACGGGGAAACAGAGAGAGTAGTTGTTTTTTTTTTCTCGAAAACCTGACCAACGCCCGGTAACGCTGATAATTGGATTATAAATAAGGAAATTAAAATATGTATTTGTAATGCATCCACACCAGTCTCTGATGATATCATTGGTTAACCAATTTATTAGTATTATTATCGCTATTTTACGAAAAAAAAATACCTTTCGATTTTTTTAAGTTTTATCTGTATTTACGGTTTATATTTCCGTAGGAGAAACGCAAGTATTTCCCAGCATGCTTTTTAGGCAGCATACTCTGGATTGCCATTTTTTCGTATTTAATGGTCTGGTGGGCCTCTTTGACTGGTCAAGCTGCAGGAATACCAAATGAGGTAAGAATTAGCAATAGTAATAAACAAATACAGTATATTGTGTGGTAATCACTTAGGTTTTTCTCTTATTAGTTATAGTGTTAATAATCATTTTACCCAAAACTAAAAATAATGCAACAAATTTGAAGGATAAAATTTCCATTATTCAGACAGAACATGATTGCAATAATTATTTCATTGTACTCTTATACTTATATTTTCATTTTGGTTAATCATGGTTGCGTGAGCATGTGTTTTATGTCTGATTATATTACACCCAGTTATCTTTTTCGACACAGACTAGTACGAGGAGAAATACTTACAAGGTATATCTTACTCTTTCCTTACAGAGGGCGGGAAACAAAATATAATACGTTTTAGTTTTTATTTTCAGGCAGCAATCCAAATTATCTAAATTATCTTCATATCAGTTTTCAATGCAGTTGAATCTGTCTGTTATTCGTGACAAATCGTACGTAATAATTTATTTATTGATAAAGCGATTTGAAAAAGACAATGAGTTGTTGAAACACTCATTACACAACTAGTCAGAAAGAAAAAATAGCTATGCATTTTTGAAAATATTTAAAAAATGATTCGCTTATTCGTCCCTAATGTTAAACTTGTAGACAACACCCACCGCCAACTCTTTAGCTACTCTTGTTTGAATTTTTGGATTTGACTAGTATTCTTATAGAGCAACCATAGCCCCAACTTGCGATTCGTTTTTTTGCAGCAAACTATACATTTAGCCTAGGACACACTCGAGCAGCGTGGCAGCAAGATACTGTAGAGTTGGTAGAGTCACACATGCACTGCATCGTGATTTCCAAATATATTCATGGCTACATCAGTGCGGACAAACTGGCTACAAATGGTGGACTGAAATTCAGTGAGGATCTGTCAGAAGAGAAAGACTTTCTAGAGGAGGGTTTCTTTCTCCTTCTTTCTTTGGGACACAAAATTGGCAGATTTTGGATTCATGACATTGCATTTGCACCTTTATTAAAGCATACATACCTGACTTCCCTACAGCTTATGCAAGTGTAGCCCTGATGTTGATTTTACTCCCATTATCTCTGAAGGTAATTTTGTTTGTATCATATAGTTCTAAATGATGTGAACTTCAATTATAAGTTTCCCTCCATGCTTCAGAGTGTTTTAAAGTCTTCATCTGGATATGACATAAGATGAAATTCCAAGGCCCGCTTCTAATTTATTAGTGCCAGATTGCCGCAGCAGCAAGGTATTTTAGGGGCAAAGTTTTGTTATACGAGCGATATTTTATCGCTCCAAACTATTGCTTCTGAAGTACCCTTTCACTACGGTATTATTTCGCCATTGTGTGTTCACTTTTATAAAAATAATAGGTTGGCGATATACGTGACAAAATGTAGCTTGAGCCACCCGATACCATATCGCTCAAGTGTGTTCTAAGCTTAAATCCTCGGATTCACACTCCAAGCGTTCTAACCAATAAGCCATATTTAACCTATTTCCTTAAAAGAAATATTTTCATCGATGTTTGTATTTCTGTTTTTATTCTTATGATTTTTGTGTTCTAATAGTTTCATATGATCAATTAAGAAACGTTCAGGAAATAAACATTATTTTAATAAAGTGCAAATATAAATAAGTGTAATGATTTTCTCTCTCAACATCTTTTATATGTGATGAATAATAATGTTCATTAGCTTATTAGTGTAATGACTAACAAAGAATTTATTCTTCATTTAAAGTAAATTAATATCAAATAAGCATCCAGAAAAAAATTACAACTGCATATATATATATATATATACATATATATTTTCGGATGTGACATCAAAATATTTTGAATTTCATAACAGCTGGATGTATATTAGTTTTATAGAGCCCTTTTCGTACCTTGTTTTATAAAGCTCAAATCCAATGGTATTATGAGTTTAGAAGTATTACCAACATAGAAAAGTAAAAATGCTACTTCTTGGAATGATTTTAGGTGATGGGCTTGACTTTCCTAGCTGCTGGTACAAGTATTCCAGATCTTATTACAAGTGTTCTTGTTGCCCGCAAAGGGTTTGGTGATATGGCCGTTTCAAGTTCAATCGGAAGCAACATATTTGATGTTGCCGTAGGGTACGTATTAACCACGAGTTGAAACTAACATAGTCAGATTTAAAGACTTAAAGAGAGAAAATTCCAAAATCGAATTACTTAGAGCTTACCCACAAATGAAAGCTTAGCAATTGTTTGAAAAAGAAAACGCAATTCATAGACATACTTTCGACAACATTTCTAAATTTCTTAGAAGGCAGTAACTTATAAATTAACTCGTAGTAGGAATTATTTTCAAATAACAACTGGGGCTGTTTCTAAATAGCGTTAATGAAAATAAGCAAATAATTTCAAGAGACTATCAAACATGCGACTAATAGCATTAACTGCTGTTGCAAGGAGTGCATTATAAAACAAGTAACAAGTTGCATAGTTATCTAATTAAAGAAACTTAGATGGAAAACTCCGAAAAGGAACAACTCAGATAAAGCAAATTATTATTTTTTAAATTCCTGAGAATAAATACCGGTGAGTACAAAATGAAACATTTATTTCGAAAGTTTTTATTATTGCTTTACTACGCTGAAACCTTAATTTGATTATGGCAATAAATAGTCATTACAGAAATGTACATTAATAGTTTACACCTGTTTTGCTCAATCGCCAAGGAATTTAATGTATTAATCACTACAATATAACTTCTTGTACTTTAAGCAAACCCTGCTTTCCAATGAAAATTCAATATTAGAACTATCGCTTATGGCAAAATTTTAAATGAAGTATATAGCATTTATATTACATCATATTGATAACGTTAATACTGTTTAATGTATACAAATATACTGGCCTTTAATAAAATGTTTATATTCCTCAATTTTGAGAATCAGATTTTTGTGAAATATAGTCTATATAAGACGGCTTGAAATGTTTATTGCTAAACTGTAATGGGCTACTTGAAATAAAATTTTTTATTGTTATTTACGTTTTGTAACAATAGAGTCAGCACACAAGATTTGGGTAATGAGCTTATAATATGTATTAATTATTTAAATGTTTGCATAGAAACTGAATTCTTATACCATAGCCAAGAAGAAAATAGAAATTGAATAAATGTACACGCGGACTGATTATAAATCAGCGTAGAGAGAGAGACAGAAAAAAGGTGTTCTTTTGTTTATGTTGGCGAATATTCAGAACCGAAATATGAGACTGAATGAAGGATGTGTTTAATGCAGATCTGAATACTCGTCATACCAGAAGTTTTTATTCTTATTCTTCATTTTAGGAAAAGCTTGATGTTTCTAATTTCAGTACGTAATTAACTACGAACGTTATCGTTATAATTAAGCATATTAGGAGGCTTGGCATGATATATATATATATATACATAATAAGGTGACTTAGGGGCATTATTTCAAGCATAAAAAAACTGTTGTTTTTGCACACCTCTACCCGCCCCCCAGGACAAACCCATTTTACTAAAACTCAATAATTTAATTTTCATCTTAATCTCTGAAAGAAGGCTAGGTTGATGCCTGATAGTAGACATACTTTGATACTGACGTTTTTGTTATACAGAAGAATTAAGTATGTTAAAGTGAGCGTATGTAATACACTTAATTAAAACAGCTGAGCTTACATTATTTAATTAAAGTTCCATAATTAGTTGTTTGTGGAAATGTATAAAAGCCTATATAAATATACAAACATATTACTTTTACTAACTGATTTCGTGATGCCGTTTTTACAAAAGATGAACAGAATAAAACATGCTGATTCGTAGCATACTGATTGTAAAATGAAATTATGTTTCAGGAAAGTGTACTGAAGTAAGCTCAGAAATGTATGGTAATAGATACTTTTTCTGTGCATGCATACGAGTAAAGAACAGGTGTGCTGATTCTGTTTGTTTTTAATATTCCAGTCTCCCGGTTCCTTGGCTGCTGGCGTGTCTAATCTTCGGACCAGTTACAGTCAACAGTGCGGGCATGGCTTGCTCTATTTTGCTTCTGTTTTTCATGTTGCTCTTTGTCATTATTTCCATTGCTCTATTCAAATGGCAAATGAACACGGGATTAGCTTGTGTGATGTTTGTTCTGTATTTCCTTTTCATTGCACTTTCTTTACTTTTAGAATATGAAATTATATCTTGCGCAGCTGTTATGGGACCGTTCGGGAGAGGATAACCGAAGATAATATAATATAAGATAATTTAAATTAATAATAATTTACTTTACATTATTCCCTTTTTTGGTATTTTTAAGCGTTAATAATAGACACTGAAATGTTTAAAGCATAGTAATCAAGTTGATGATTATTTGTTGTGCAGCAGAAACATTTTCTTCGTGGCTCGATTGTTACGATTTTAAAAGTCTCTGTGTAAAGAGCAATTAAATAAGTTCTCATAAAAGTCTCTACATAAACAGCAATTAAATACGTTTTCATTTTTCTCCTCCTTTTGTAATCATAGTTTCATCTAAGTCTGCAAAGATTTTAATGAGATGTAGTCAGTTAGGGAATATTTACGAGTAAAAATTTTAAAAAGGAGCTTACGTTATAGTAAAATACATAGATTTGTACACCAATACTTTGTTTGGTCGTTGAGGACTTTTCAACATAATTTTCTGATTAAAAACGTGGAGTGGTCTATAAGAATATGTTATAGTGTTTGTTCATATATATATATATATATATGATTTTGAAAATTTGTGCAAAGAAACACTTGCTCATAACATTATGTAGATATCCCCTAGAATTTAGACTTAACTAGAAGTTTACTTGTTCTATAATTAGAATAAAATTATTTCCTTGCATTTGAAACTAAACTGCATTTCTGCAGCATATCATTTTAGATTTTACTTTTGTCATAGACTAAAGTATTTCTTGACAATCTTATTCTTTCACTTTGACATTTAGAAATGGCCTTTTTTACGTTGTGAAGATGCATATATGAATGTTGTCAAGTGAAAAGTTAGGTGTTTTAAAATTCATGGCGATAGGTTCTTTTATTAACAAACTACTGACATAATTATAAGATATAAAAATGGAAGATAAAAGTTTATCCTTTAAAACATTGATCACCTCTATACTTTTCGCTCGGCACTTAATTCGTTTTTCGAAAAAACCAATCAATACAAGGACATTGTCTGATTGGAACTTAATATCCAGTTTATGGTGCTAAATAGATAGTAATATGATGTGTATAGAAATTTATGTACGTTAAACTTATTAATCCAATACAGGCCTTTATGTTGGAAGTTCAGACAAGTGTTGTTTCAAAAATAATTCGTCTTTCTAGCAAAATAATTGAACCAAAAATCCAAGCAATGTTTACATTTCACATTTTCATGTAGTTATTTTGAGTTCACAAAAACGAGAACATTTAAGAATCAGTAAAGATAAGGACTTATAATAATTACGTCTCTCATATTTGGCGGAAGTAATGACAGTTGTCATAGTAACAATATTGAATTTCTTGTTAAATTCGATTTTTGAAAAATAAAATTTAATTCAGCAAAATAATTCATTAATTAGACTGCTGAAAAATAAAATATTTATTGAAACTGTTCATTAAAAAAAACTTATTAATATAAGTGGTCTAGCTGCTGGGTTATTTAACACACACATATACCATGTTGCAATCTAAATTACAAACACTAAATTTTATTGAACTTTTTGATACTGTACGTTTCTCAAATATTACTCCAGACGATTCAGCTATATGCATAAACTTTCGTATCATTTATACTTACATTACATATAATCGAAAATCAATTACGGAAAGTCATTAACTACATCTTCTTTTCATTATAGAAAGTACTCAGAAAATATCAAATTTATCGAGATCCGTAACAATCAGTTTATTCCTTTAAGTAGACTATAGTTCGAAGTACACTTGTATTGTGGTCTACTAGCGTGAATTGATTATATGTACTGAAATACGTGAAATTTTAGAGTTAATAAAATACAAACACAACCTTATCATCTAAACATTTACACTGCAAAGGTTAATAACCTAATATCTTGTAAATGTATGTACAGTTGTTAGTGGAAGATAAAGATAATACACTTATTTATAATACATATGAATGTTTTGTGAATTTGGCGCACTTATATTATGTACTTACTAAAAGTTATTCAACGAGGACCATGCAAGTTATCAATCTCTAAGGTCCACAAGGAGGAGCTAGCTAGATAACCTGAAAATATTAGGTAATTGCTGCCTTTTCAGTAGAATGTTAAAGGTTATTCTATTATTGTTTCCGTTAAGTAATCTTGTATGATATCATTGTACGGCAGATCTAATTTTCCCATTAATAATAGGCCTACTAGACCGTTTGAAAAAATATATGTTAGGCCTTTTCGTTACCTTGATGTACATTTAGAAAATAAGGATAGATAGTTTTCAGTTTAGTTAGTTAACTTGTTCGATTAAAATTACCGACAAGCGGGAATTGTCACACAATAGTATGACAGATTTTAAAAGGGAAAGTAATTTGTTTATTCATAAAATAAACTTTCTTTATTAGGAGTTCTAAGTATGTTTTGCCATTACTTAGGATTATGAAATTCGAGTGAGATATCTGATGTCAAGTGTTGTCTTTATGACTGTAAATTGCAGGAGTAAATGGACTTAAAAGAAATAATCGGTTATAAAGAAGACCTTCAGATATTCGTTGCCATGAGTGTAAAGATGATGCTTAAACTTTCTTACAGAGGTGTACTTATCACACTATATTTGTAAGTTACCTGTGAATACAATGAATTAGATACAAGATAGACATTTTGAATATTCTATTCATTTTAAATTGCGAATAAACTCTTTTATTTATTGTTTTAGTGTGTCAACCCAAGTAAGGTATGATGATAAAATATAAGACAATTGGCACCTGTGGACAATTTTTGTGGGTTGTCGAATTTCTGTTTCGCAAATATTTTGGTTAACTTTTTAAATAAAATTTTGTATGTTTATTAAGCATTAGCTTGTAAAAAAAGTTATGGGTGGTATTTAATTTAGTGAGAGTAAATTTTATATGCTCACTTAAGAAGACACGTAGCCAGATTACCTATGTATCTTGAGCAAGTAGCTGTTAAACTGAGTAAGAAATCCATGAAAGTCTTCTTTCGGTAAATATATATAAAGAAAATCCTTTACAGTCTCTGTGTAAAAAAAAGGTGCATAGTTTTCTTCCATTTCACAAGTAAATTTTAAGTTCGAAAATTGTGACTTTAGATTTTCAAGGAAAAGGTGGGTATGTTATTTTCAACGAAAAACAACAACAAAAGTGTCATCGACGTACCATTCACAAATAATTGGTTTTAACTCTAAATAACACTGATTTATACAGTTTTCCTCATTACGGAAAAAAAATCATTGGCAAAGGTTAAACGTATAGGGTACCTCATACAAATGTCAGATTTTCCCTAAAACTAACAATTCTTTTTGACAGCATGAAATATTAAAGACTTATGAACCGCTTACAGTGTTATATTTTTGGAGTAGATCAGAGAGACGTATCTCTATGTTTCCATCAAATGGAATGCTTGGGAATAACGACTTCACACCAGAGATTGTCATGAAGCATTGACAGGAAGCTGCATATTTTACCTTCACTATTACAGCAAAGTGATTAGACAGCTGCAAATTATTAACTTGTTAGTGGTTAATACTTCTAAAGATGTGGTACAATTGGTAACATGATCGGTCTCAGGGGATGTCAGAACCAACAAAAATCTCCTAAAGGTACCGAATGTTTGTTTGACCAACATTAAGTTTTATTCTCTAACCTATTTATGACACTAACAAGAAGGTTTTATACCGCTAATTAAAATTAATGTAATTTTCAGAAACATCTTTGAGGTTAAGATGTTTTTTACTTAAATAACTATATAACTAATTCCCTTCGTCCATGAGTAACTTATAAATGTACCTATGCTGATTATAAGATCACTTATGTCAGAAACTATGCATATGTCAGAAAAACTGAGCATCGCCTTTTAGTGCATGCAAGCATGTGGAAGTGCCTTTTAAGACCGGTAAAGTACGTTCAAGTTCGCGTACTTCAGCAATTTCGCTGCCAATTTGAAATCAGAATTCTCGTTCAGAATTCCCAATTTTAAGTATATTTTTAGACCCAATTCACTTCACCTCGCATTCACGTGGTATCGATCCTAAAATAACCTCTGTAGCAGCGATCCCCCCCAAAAAAAACACACTAAAGACAAGATGTTAACCAGTTGTTTTGTTGTTTTATGTAAGAATCGATATAACAAACCCAGCTGTTTGTCGTTTTTATATGGTTCCTACAATATTGAACAGGAAGAAAAGCAACTTAGTTCCTGCAAGCAAAAGAAATTACTAGTACATACGAACACTATTACGTTTCCACCAATCACATTTTCACAAACAGGCAGACCTTAAGTACACCATACACTACCACATAATTTATTTATCAACCAAGTAGCCTTTCTCCGTTATTTGAAAATTCTTTTTAGCAGCAATCATTAAATGACCCGCTTCTTGTTCTATAAAATTATCGATTGTCGATTGGTTAGTGGAATAATACCATATTGCGTAGTCAACAAGGGAATCTGTTATCACTTCGATATTCAATACTATGTTATTGTGCTACTGAAGTGAAAATCCTCTTATGACTTGAATAACATGGCTTATTGAAGTTTTCGTAAAAATTACCTCTTCATCTTTCTAAGAAGTGTGGTATTAACAGTTAAAAATCCGCTGAAAACGTGGCTTTACGTTTAAAACTGTAACTTAAAAGGTTTACAATTTACAAGAATTTAAACTACAGTTAAAAAAACAACCGTAAAACTGCGGTAAAAGTACAGGTACCATATTCATAAGATTCCTTATTTAACAGAAAATATTTTAAGAAATCTCATAAAAAACGGAATATTTGAAGAACTTCCCTAAACATTACTAAAAATATTCCGTTTTATCAACTTAAAATAGTTTCCGTTAAAATACAGAAGTTTGTAAAGACATTCTCGAAATTTCGTGCTGATAGTTTTTCCAAAGTTCTATGAACTTTGTTTTTTATAGTATAAGACGATATTGTGGGAGAGCTTTACAGAATGCTTTTAAATAAGCCTTCAAATTTCAAGAGCCACTGTATCATTAATATATTTTCAACCGTGAGAATATGCTTGGGGGGGGGGGAGATACAAAACAAGATTTTATGTACTCTCTAATCGTCGCATATGAAGCTTATTTTTTATTATATTAGTTAAGAATTAGGCCTACTTTCTATTACAGTGCGTAGCCATATGGTTGATTTAAAAATGCAAGTTTATAAAGTATTCTATAATCAAAATTTTGTATTATATTGCGTTGTCGTATGAATTTAACCGAATGATAATATATATGTGTTCAACAGAGCTTAGTGTTGCTATACTCTGCAAATGACGAAAAGTATTATCATTGCTAGGTATTGTACCGCATAAGTAAAACACTATTTGAAATTTTAATCCTTCTGATATTCCCAATAGATCGGTCGTAGCTCTAACCTGAAACTAACGTAGTTTCTCTACGGCTTACCATACAGACACAAGCATATGAATTAAAAATATCCACCTATAATATAATTCAATCAGAGATAAATGTCACTAATACTGGTTCGTGCCAAACTCTGATTCACATGTGCAACAGTGACGTAATTCTACGTAGATTGCAAACAAGAGAAAGATCTGTAACCAGTCGAATACTATTTGTCATTTCTCGGGTCTCAAGAACTTCACACTCATAGAGCAATGGTCTATGATTGCTAACCGCCAGTATTCCTATATAACCCTGCTTTGTTTTCAACATCTTTGGGACTTTCATCAGTTGCACTCCTCATTTCCTGCTGCATATGTTTGCAGTTTTGTTTAGCCTCTTTAAGTCATCCTATATAGAAATTACTGAAGCTTATTTTTCCATAGTTTCCCCTTTCTTAGCTTTAAATTTTTTTATGTGATGTTGTACTCTCAATGTCAACTATTTGCTGGATTGAAAGTTAATAAGGAATATTTTTCGAACCACAAATTATAACATTTAAGATAGCAAAACAGAAGTACTAAGATTCATCAAGCTTTCTAGTAAAGTTACCCAGTTAATATACGCTAAAGCAGTATTTGATTAATCATTGAAACACACAAATCAATAGAAATGATGAGCTTATTAACATGATCAAAACAAAATCCTTAAAAATTTGGTTACGGTAAAGTTTAGATGTGAATAACTATCGTATTCATCATGTATAACTTTTCACAGTTTATAGAGTTCATCTTGAACACAACTGTCACTAATCGGTATTTGGTATGGCTTCCTTGTGCGTCACTGACGGCTCGTACACGACGTTGCATGCTCTCCATGCAGTTAGGCCATCCACGTTGTTAGACTTACGAAACATCTTCTTGATGAAACGTGTGATTTCCGCCAAGAGGTTCTATATTGGGTCTTACCTGATGATACTAGTGACTACTCCATGCGTCCACCTCCTTATTTGGGAGGAAACTCTGAATCATTCGGGATCTGTTTGGTTTGGCGTTGACTTCTTGGAAAACAAAATTTTTCTGAAAGGCCCTTCTAGCAAATGGAAGTAAGTTTGCCTATAATATGCGTTTGTACTTGTGTTGATCCAGATTTCAAGCAGTGACGCAAAAGTCACTCTTAACCCAAAACTATCACTTCAACACCTTCAGCTTGCACTCTTGGCTGGATGCAATCATCGTTTTAGGTCTCGGATTTGCCATCGCACTCCAAAACAACTAAACATCATGGCAAAAGGCTTCAAATCATTGAACACCACATGTTGCCAGTGTCCAGTGGGTTAATGTGCGTGATAACCAGTCACTAACAGTCAGTCATTGACAATAATTTTTAATACTGATAGATTTGTGAGTTCTTGTCATTCAGTTCGTAGAGTATTGGTAGCTTTAGTGCGGCCATTTCTGCATAATTGAAACAACTGGCCATCATCTCTATCTGTGGTCTTCCATGGGCAACCTAGCCTGTTTTTTGGGGTAGGTCTTCCGATTTTATTGTTTCTTTTCATAATCTTAGAGACGTTGCCTTGGCTTATATTTAACTGTTTGACAGCATGACGTTGTTTGATGTCATTACCACGTTGTGCCATGACCCCGTATTAAACTCCAATATCCAGCTGTCGAACCGTCGTCTGCAGAACTTGTTATATATAACATTCTAAGGTCACTACAGTAACGCGCCGGAGAGATATAGTAAATTAAAAAGCTTTCACCGCCATATACCATGAGCGTATACCATCATCTGATAAATCAAATGCACATATAAATTGGCTTGAATGTATATCATCTGATAGAGCAAATACACATGCATGGACTGGAATTCACCAACAGACCATAGATTGAACTTCCATCAACAAATATTACATATTAATTGTCAACTCTGTAATACAAAATGTATGAGTTTTTAAACTTATGAGAACATATTAAAAAACATCAGATCTTACACATAAGGACTTATATATTTTGTTTCTATTTATGGAAAATTGTAGTATATTTGGTATTTGTCTATCATAGGAAACCTATCTTTATTTGAGAGTTGATTTTATGATCAAGATGCAGCTCCAACGCATTTTGTGTTCTAAATTAACACAATTTATAGAACAAAAATGTTGATTTGAAGTAACAGTATTAATCTTAATCCAACAAAACATCATCTGAGAAGCAGCTAGTGGTACGATACTTGTTACTTTTACTTCATTCATAACAAATTATAGCCTGATTATCTTGAGCTATATATAGAAATATTATTCGATTATTATATCGAGGATACGAGATTCTACCGTGTTAACTCATAAGTCCTTCTTTAATCCATTTATTGTTCTATTGTGGTTATCCTGAGTGAATTTATGAATTTTTACTTGATCTTTCTGTTAAGTTGACATGATTCACTCAAATTAACTCGTGAATTTCTTTTTGTGCCATTTATTGTTCTAATGCGATTCTTCTGAGTTGATCCTTTAATCTATATTAATCCATTTATCAACTGAAGAGGTTATATTGAATTAACCAAATAAATATGTATTTTATCCATAGTTACTTAACCCGTCAACCGATTCTTCTAAACTAAATTATGTTTTTTTTTAATTCACATAACGACCTGACAGGACCCTTCTGAACTTTTTTCAGGATTCTTACTCAATCCATAAATCTTTGATATAAAAACACAATGCCCCATCTCATTTAACTGATACACTTTACCCATATAAGGATCTGAAATGATTTTTGAGAATCAACTCAAAAGCCGTTCTTGGGACACACTTTGAACATGGCATGCCTCTCCTGAATTAGTTTTTAATAATAATGTCTACTTGATTCGTATTACGAACTGACTCGATTCGCTTATATGACTCAGTTACTTGACCCAGAGGTCAGTATGAATCGCTTTTCACGGTCTAATTCAAGAGTCCTTATTTGTTCTCTGTATCATCTTGCAGTATTTCTGTTTAACTTATAAATTCATATTTGTTCCATAATTGTATTTGTGGATTGTTTCCAAACCTAACCACTTTTGAGCCGAAATATTAAGTGACGCTAGGGAGAAAGGGCCACCTTTCGAGAGCACTCAGATTATACGGTTTCGTATTTTCGTCTTTAATTGATTTTTTGAACCTGCGTGTTTTCCGAGCATCATCATTGAATAATTATTTCATCCGTGTATGCAAGCAATTGGGACCATAACGTATTGGTTCAACGCGTAGCTGGACTTTCGACCACTCGTTAAATCAACACATTTATGGCCATATAAACCGGTAAAAAACAACGAGAATTATGACAGTCTTATTGGCTATTTCGACAGCGCGTTGAGTCAATATGTTATGACCGTGTTGATAGCTTTCTACAGTGCCATAACACGTTGAACCAACGCTTCGTAGAGACATCTGGTGATTGAAAACTATCTTATCATTGGCTTGTTCAGCAAAGCGTGAACCATTTTGGTATGACCCTGATGGCTTGTCACATACGTGAATGAAACCATAGCAATTATTTTCAATCAGCATTTGAGCCGGTCGTTGTTCTGACACAGTTCTTTTGAATTTAGTCATTATTTTTTGTGTTTTTGATCCACGAATAGCTGTGAAGCTTTTTCTTGAATTAAATGAAGAAGCTTGAGATAGAATGGGGGACACAATCCAAAAGTTGTTATATCACTGCCTTTTACTATAATACCTGGTTCCTGAAGGTGCGGAATTTTGTGTTGTTTGTTTCGGATAATAGCGCAAAGCTATACAAGCGCTATTAACCTCTAATTTTGAACTGAGGGAGGCAAGTTAATCAATAGCACCCAACGCCAACTCCTGGGCTACTATAAATGATTAGTGGGATTTGACCGTTACTCTTATAACGCACACACGGCTCCAAAATGCGGAGATTTTATGAATTTGAACTGACTGTGCAGTGCTAGTCATGTCGTCATGTTTGAAATTATCTAAAAGCAGTGACAATAAAGTTAATGTTCTTGTTGTGAATTTTGTGTTTAATTACAGAAATATAATTTTATTTATGAAATTTCAAAACCTAGATAAACATAATTTTACCTAAAATATTTGGAAAGCAGATTTAACTGAGAAATATAAACTTTACTTTGAAACAAAAGATAAACCTTCTCAACATATCTTTAACACAAATTTCAATGATGTTGCATAGAACAGGAACTACAAATTCTTGGTTGAAATCTTATTTTAGTAACTGTATGGGGTGATAAATGAGTCAAAGAAACAAAATAAAAATATATTAAAAAGGGCTCCAACTTGAATCTTATTGGGATTATTGTAATGCTTTATTGAAATGTTAGCTTTCTGTTTAGTTGTTGCAGTTTCTAGAATATGTTGGAACGTCCGTACTCTTTAGTTTTTGTCAATACACTATTTAGGTCAAGATCTCCAGTTTTCAGAATTATAAGATTTACCTATATAATATTTAAACTTTTCTTTCAATAAATTTGCGCCTAGTTTGTTCCGTCGATCGCCTCCTTTCTTCCTAAATGATTTGATAATTTGTTTACCAACATAACAATTTAAGGCACACGATAAGAGTTAAAAATAAGTATTTAAAGTAAATAAGACATGAAAAAAGAATATTATACAAAACAAGAACGTTAAGTACCTAAAAGCCACAATGACCAAGTCTAAACAAACAGGTACAGATTATGTATATAAAAAATGTAAATAGAAAATGTTGGTGTTTATTAATTTGTCTTATTTCAAGTGATGCTACATCAAGTATACCCGAAACAATTTTTTCTTTTGCATAATCCATTCGAAACGTTCGGAATAGAACAGACGCACATCATTCGAAAACAAAAACTTGAGCATATTAATAACGAATGAAGGAACAAATCAAACACCTAGATATATAATGTAAATACCCTAGTAGCATTCACGCCATAAAATATGCCATGTATGTAAATCTACATTTTCAATCATTCATGAAATTCAATTGAAAGCAAAAATGCTGTAATTACTCAGATAAAGGTTGTATATGTGTATATTCATACTTGTCCTTATATTACGTTCATAAATTTATCAAAACAAGTATATCACGTGTTCACATATCTCTGTACGTGAAAACGTTTACAACATATTATTACTAACAAGCTACTGAAATCAAACAAGTCCATCTACAGCATTTTTAAAACTTTATTTGTAAAAATCTGTATAGATTTATAAAAGTAACAAACTGATTCAAATATAGCATCATCAGATATGAAAATCCAAAGAAATGACCAGATGAAATTATTTTGGGCGAAATACCGGCCACATGTTTATCCCCCCCTTTAAAGCTATATAGAATTAAGAATGAATGCTCGATATCATTTCTTAAAGTTTAATTAAATAATTAGTTAATGTGAAGTTTCATTTATGCTTGATTTGTAATTTCTCTTGTATTTTAAGAATATATTTATATATATATATATATATGTATGTAGCAATTAAAACTGTGAAACTATTTCTATGTTGTTATAGAAAAACTAGATTTAATAATATAACCAACAATAAACAGTTCTTACAGCTGTTTAATATTTTTCTTCAATAAGTATGGTTTAAAATGTTAAGGTTGTTATCGAACTCATCAAACAAAATACTGCACTTAATAATTCTGGTCATAGCTTTATCGTTACATTTTTAATACCTCTTTACATAGCTCTATCGTTACATTTTAATAGCTCTTTACGAGACCTATAACTTTCAAGTACTATGCTGAAATATTAAACGTTAGTCTTGACTTTTTTTCAGATTTTAAAATTTAAGAATTTAGTGAATGTAGTTTTGATAACTTTGTAACACGCATATTCTTATTCGTACCAAACGTGCTGCTGTTACTGAGAAGAAAAGCATTATGGAACTTTCTTGTAAATTTTGTTTTTCTCTATTTATGTATCAAAATGTTCAAATGAACGGTGATGTTTTGGTAGAAGTCTGAAAACAATGCTTTGACCATTATTGTCGAAAAAGAACAAGAAAATAACCACAACGCTATTCTCAGACTTGTTCAAAGACAATACTGTTCAACAGAAACTTTTCAATAAATGTCAACCAAGAATGATCGTTGATATTCAGTTTCAAAGTTTATATTTAGGGATAAACTTCAGAAAGGACATAAATTAATAAATGCAAAGATAAAGTTAGAGGATATTAATCTAGAGAGTATGTGGTCTATTCTTCCAATATATATCTTGCAAAATACATCGCAGAAAGCACGAAATGAAGATATAGATGATTATGGCTGATATATAATAGTGTATAATGTTATCTTGAGTTGTATGCAGTGGGTCTTAACTTATTAAAGTAGAAAGTTATAAAGTAACCAACGAAAGCATCCGTTCAAAAAGATTAATTTAATTTGTGTGTATATATATATATATACATATACTGTGTACT